TCAGCAGCTTTGATGGTATTTTCCATTTTAGAGAGACATAAATAAATGTGCAGAGCTATCCAAGATTAGGTTATTTAACTGAATAAGTACAACATTTGCTGCTAGATGAGATGTGGAAAAATATCTTTAAATTCCTTAAGGAGTTGAACATTTGGGTTTGTCAGCGCATGGATCCTGATGTTTGAAAATGAAATGGAAGGGGAAAATCCAGGTTCACTCCTCCTGAACACTGGCAGTGCAACAGATTGCAGTGCACGAATTACCACAGGGTAGCATGAAGGATAAACTGCAGTAATAGCATGAATTGCAATGAGTCACTCCATTCAGTTCTGCCACTTATGGCCCTTGTGATAGCTGTTTCTATAGCTATAGGTGAAACTGCAATAAAATCAGGAAATATAGCCATAATTCAACAGAGAACTAAGCATGCATAAACCTGTTGAAATCAATGAATTTAAGTGTTGTGTATGTAATGTAATGAAATAAATGTATTGTGCTTGAGTCTGACAAGGTATTGTAAAACGACCTATCAGAACAAAGGAAGTTCTGGGGGGAAGATAAATGATTGGTCTTTATGTGCTGCATTTGATTGGACCTTAGCTGACATGTGGGCGTGGCTTGCCAAGCCCGGACTGTTTAAAAAGGAGCCTGTTACTCCATTGATTTGTCTCATTCTGGTTCTTCTGACGTCGTGTTCAATAAAGCTGTTAATCACTGTTCACCTGCTGTCTGAGTCTTAACATTAAGGATGCTTAACTCTGTGTTGGATTGCGGCCTACGTATTTGGAAGGTCAAGTAAAAGAAGGAAAAAATGAAGTTAATGACATTTATCCTGTGATTCTAAGCTGCCCTGGCGTTTCCTTTCAGTGGTGGAAGTAGGGTTGCCATCCTCTAGATGGGACCTGGAGATCTCCTGGAATTACAACTGATCTCCACATGACAGAGATATGTTCCTGTGGAGAAAATGGCTGCTTTGGAGGGTGGACTCTAAGGCATCTTACCCTGCTGAGGTCCCTCACCAAACCCCACTCTATCCCAGGCTCGACCCCCCCAAAAACTCCAGGAATTTCCCAACCTGGAGTTGGCAACTGTAGGCAGAAGCAGATCAGCAACCACATAGGCATGCACACATACAAAGTTCCCACACTGTAAAATTAAAATTATTGATAATTAACTTGTTGGTTAGCAATCCATAAAGCTTCAGAAGCCCCAGCACTTGTTGTATTGATTATTTTACTAAGAACCGGTGCACACAAGTTCTCACAATGAATAACAAACATACACAGGAGGAACCTGCATGATTGTTTTAGTGCACTGGCATAGATATGTTCATGGTAGGGTTGCCAAATCCACTTACCCCTTGGAGCGGGAGAGCCTCGTCGCTGTCCGGGAGAGCCTTTTGGGTGTTGGGTGTTTTCCCCTCAAATGGCTGTGCCCTGCCCCCAGCGTGCCCGGCATCATGACGTCACAGGGAAGTGACGTGCACACGGGGGTGGGGTTTCCCCCGGGGCCCGATTCCACGGGGGCGGAAATCGGGCCTCCAAAGCGGGGGGAAATCCGCCCCCCTGGGGGGATTTGGCAGCCCTAGAAGTGATGGTCCGCCCTCTTCTGAGAAACCTTCACTGAATCTCTCGGCCGGTTTCCAATTTGCCCTATTTGGGCAAAGTATTGGAGAGAGCGGTGGTGATTCAGCTGCAGGGCTTTATGGATGACACTTCCATGCTGGATCCGTTCCAGTCTGGCTTCCAGCCATTTTTAACTGTTGATAACATATGTAGGACAGTTATGTTTTTCAAGAATATCTTTTGTTTGAAGAATAAACACCTTGCCTTTTAGACAGAACATTACAGGCTATTGCAAATTAAATATAGCGTACCAAGTAGGGCCTTCAGAAAGGTTTAATGGGAAAGCTTGAGTAATAATGCTTGGAATGAGAATAAGGGCTTTACAAGCATGGATCTACTTTTGTCTTGGAGAATATAGAGGCCTATGCTGGTGCTCTCTGCAGAAATTGCTGGACTGGATTAAAGGTCCTGCGTAAGTCAATGAGTTGGATCCAGTCAGCTTTTTCACTCAGTCTCACCCATTCCTCTCCACACTATGGCTGTGACTCTTGCACCCTGGAGCCTCATAAGAACATAAGAGATGCCAATGTTGGATCAGGCCAAAGGCCCATTCAGTCCAACACTCTGTGTCACACAGTGGCCAGAAATACCAGTGCCATCAGGAGGTCCACCAGTGGGGCCAGGACATTAGAAGCCCTCCCACTGTTGACCCCACCCCAAGCACCAAGAAGACAGAGCATCACTTGCCCCAGAGCCCCTAGCTATACCTTGTGGCTAATAGCCACTGATGGACCTCTGCTCCATATGCTTATCTAATTCCCTTTTGAAGCCATCCATGCTTGCAGGTGAGGCTTTGCAGTGTAGTGGTTAAGAGTGTCAGACTGTAATCTGAAGAACCACATTTGATCCCCCACTTCTCCACAGGAAGCCTGCTGGGTGACCTTGGGCCAGTCACAGTTCTCTCAGAACTCTCTCGGCCCCACCTACCTCACAAGGTGACTGTTGTGGGGAGAGGAAGGGAAGGAGATTGCAATGTCTTCAGAGTTTGTAGCACTGTAAAGACTAATATTTATTGATAAATTGTGAATCAATTCATATATAATGTGTCACAAGACCCCTGTTTGTTTTGCTGCAAATATCATGGCTACCCAGTGTTCCCTCCAAGCTGTGCATGTGAGTGGCCGCTCATTAACACAGGAAGCCCCGCTCAGCTGCAGTCGGCACTGCCCATTGCCCGTTTTAAGATTACAGTAGTTATATTCTGCTGTGGATGTGAACTGCTCTGCTCAGTGGGGGGGGGGGGGGTTAGGGGCGGGGGGGGGGGGGGATTAGAGAGAACATTGTGTTTAAATTCATAACAAGATGGTAGTTCTTCTGCATAAGCCCCATTGAAATAAATGGGAGCTGCCCCAGAGTACCCTCATGTCTTCTGCGAATCCCATTCAATCTGAAGGGGGAGAGTGCTAGGTTAATTGAGGCCTACAACTATATAGTCTCAGATAATTCATAAACTTTCGGAATCTGTGAAAGATAATAATAATTGGGGGCCCTCAATGACATGTGATGGAGGGGAAGTTGAAAGGCATGGCAAAAAGAGTTTTTCCTTCTTCAACCCAGCCTGTCCCCATTCTTTCCAGATACATTACGTTCTCTGAGGAGAACTACTGTCTTATTCAGTCACCTCTCTGTTTGACAGCCAAACCACCAGGCCTAGGCAGAAAAGCTGCAGTGACTGCTAGCCAGTTTCTAGGAGTGAGCTAAATTGTGTTTTTTTCCTTCCCTTTGTCCCCCAAATGTTTGTGGGATCTTTGGTTCAGGAAATGAACATAGCAAGAGCTATTTGGGGTCATGTTACAACAAACGATAAAGAACTGCTAGAGGCTCCATTGGTTCCTTCGGAACAGAATTCATTGAGTTTCTCAGTGGCATTGGGATGTATTAAAGGAAAGGCAATGGATTGCTTACAAGGTGATCTTTAGGGACTGTCTCCAAATAGCAGACAAAAAGGGCTTGGCAGACCATAATGCTTTGTTTCCAAGCATTAATAAAAATTCCAGAGGGATTATACAAACATATAACATTCAAAACAATCACTGTCACAGAACTTTAAAATGACAATAAATAAGACATGGTAAAATTTTATTATCCAGCTGAGGTTCTCATATTTATTGAATTATTGCTTTCCAAATAAGATTCACATTCTGTAATATAAACAAAGTGTTTTTGAAGGGTATTCATTTTAACTAATTTTGTTATCTCCAAACCATTCCTTTTTTTAGAATGTTTGGAATAAAATTACAATAAATAAGATTGTTGTAAACATTTAGTGTCTAGATCATATTTAGTGTCTAGATCTTGCATTAATTAGTATCACTGTTGTTTAAGGCAGGGTAGATAGGTGGGGGATGGATGGAAAACAGATGTGAAGTGACATGGAAAGGTTGGGGACTGGTAGGAAAGAGGAATTGGAGGGTCAGGGAAGAACAGAAGGGACGAAAGGTAGGGAAGAAGGAAAAGGCGGAACACAGGCAAGACCAGGCAAGAGTCTGGAGCAGGATGGGGGAAGAGATGGGAAAAGGAGAGGGGGAAAACTTAAGTCTCTTCATCAGTTTGTGCTGCCTGACAAAATTATAGTGTTTTCAGAAAGCAGCATCTCACCCATCAGAGGGTGGGAGTGTACATGCATACACTTCCTCTGTACCTAAGCACCAGACTCATTAGCTGACCTGACAATCACGAGGAGGGAGAGTAGGGCCAGCTCATTCATGACTGCTCTCCCTCTCTTCAGGTAGAATGGATGCAGGGGAAGGGTCATGGGCAGAGGGCTTCTTTTGTCTTCTAGATGACCCGCCGCTGTGCTTCTGTAAGCTCAACTCAGCAGCTGATCTCCTCTGCCAAATGTTTGTTGCCCTCAAACTCAAAATGAATGCAGAAGAATAATCCATTCGCTTACAAGTCATTTCGGGGGGATCGCGGGGGATCGCAGTTCCCCCGGGTGAGGTATGGGGGGCGGGGCACATGACGAAGCCCCGCCCCCTGCTTCTGGCCGCCCCGCTTCCGGCCCTCATTCAGCCAGGAGGAAGCAGGAGAAGAGGGAGGGTAAGTTGCTTCCTCCCTGCCTCTCCCCACCCCTGCCTGCCTGGGGCCAGGGAGGGCCTTTGCGGGGCTTCCTTGCACTCCCGCCGGCCTTGCAGGTCCACCGCCGGGCCCCTCATGGGGCTCGGCAGTGGAGCTGCAAGGCTGCCACCGGCAGCCGGGACCGTTGGGGGCGGGGTGTGTGGCCTTATGACACACTTCCGGTGATGTCAGGGGGTGTGGCATATGCTAATGATACATCTCCAAGAAATGTCTGTTCTGATCTTCTGTGAAGAGCTCCTGAAATCAACAACAGTGCCATTCCTTACTAATCTTAAAGATTTATACTCTGCCTTTCAGTCAGATGATCCTCAAGGTAACTTACAGACAACAGGCCTATGTTTGGCGGGAAAAACAACATAGCAGCTTTGGACTTCTGGCAAGTGGCGAAGGTGAGAGCATCTTTTTTCCCTCACATCTACTATCCCAGGGAAAATGCAGTTGAACAGAGAATGCTTTCTCAAAAGGAGTGGAGAAAATAATAGGGAAAATTCTGGAATGCAGAAAACAGCTGCTAAGGAGAGGCAATCACAAAAGGTCAGGTGCCCTTCTCTTTTAGGAAAGAACAAGCAAGTGGGTGCCAAGAAGCACATTGGCGGAAACCACATTGGGGATTACTGCTGTCTTAAAACTGAGCAGATCTGTATTCTATGTTAAATCTTTTAAAAATTATTTTATTGGCATTGTATCCTGCTCTCCCCGCAAGCAGGCTCAGGGCGGGTTCCATCAATGTCCATACAATATACCAATAACAAAACCATTTAAAAACAATAAAATTAATACAATACAATACAGTAATTATAAAATACTGTGTGGAGCTAATCAATAACACAGTAGCAAAGATGGAAACTATAGAGTAGATCCCAGTTGTCTGTTCAAAATCCAGGACACTGATGGGAGGTCAGTTAAAGGAGTGGATGCCTGCTGCCTCAGCTATCTTACAGGCCCTGCGGAATTGTAATAAATCCCGCAAGGCCCTGATCTCATACAAGAGCTCATTCCACCAGACAGGGGCCAGGGTGCTAAAGACATTGCACATGTTGAACCTCGCAATCCAGAGCAGAAAAGTCTATTGAACACACAAGGAATTGAGTGATTTACAGTACAATCCTAAAGAGAGTTACTCCAGTGTCAGCCTATTCATTTCAACGGGCTTAGACTAGAGTAACTTGCTTTAGGATTGCACTTTAGTCTTTTAAAGGGAGGCCTTTCTAAAAATATACAGTACTCAGCAATTCAGACTGTTCAAGTGTGAAGGGGTCATTTCATGTCCCCATCATTCCTG